TAGTTTGATAAAGGCATCACTATTTCTAATTGGACTGATGGGAAAATAGATGGGTGTAAAAGGCAATGTTGGGTGAATTGCAGTGAAGTGATGAACTACCTTGAAGCTGAAGCAATTAAATAGATAGCTAGAAAAATTACTATGACATCTTTATCCAACAGTTTGGTGCAGGTATTCCAGACTTGGCCTTCTTTACAGACAGCAAAAGCACTGTGGGGTATTTGGTGAAATTAAATCTTAATACAAAGCCTCAGCTAAGGCTGCTGCTCTTCACTTACCAAAATTAAATGCTAGACATTCAAGGCCCTATCTAAAAGGAAATGATGTTTTGATAATATTTTCAATTCACAAAATAGTTAAAAATCCAAGAGAAGAGTGAACCAACTTTTTTTCAATGTCTATCATACACTTGTATGTTCTCATTCCACACTCTTTAATTAAAAATAATGTGAAACATTTGTTATTCTTCTTTGTTTGGGTATAAATAATTTAGCAAGTAATTATTATATCTTCAGAAAAAAAAAAGACAATTGTCTATAAATTGTTATGATTGAATAGAATAAGGCAAGATGTTTTAGTAATTTGTAGAGAAGAGCAAGTGTTCCCTACTGGAATGTTTAATTTAATGCTTTGTTCTTGTCTGATTATAAAAACCAATAAACAAACAAATAGAAACACAAAAAAGTAGCCCTCCAAAAGTGACTCATAATTTCACCACCCAGAAAACACCACCATTAACATTTTGCAATATACAAATGTGTGTGTATATTGCATACATACATACATATATATATGTATATATACATATTTATTTGTGTGTGTGTATATATATATATTTAATATATCAATAAGTATATGTGAGTGTGTTTTTATTCTTGCCTATGTATTTAATACACATATATGTAAACACACACATATACATGTGTGTAATTATATATATATATATATATATATATATATATATGTAAAATTGTTAAAAAACAGAATCAGACTATACAAGCTGCTTTGAATCCAGCAGTCTTTTCTTCAAAATATGCTGTAGATATCTTTTCAAATTAATAGGTAAAGTTCTATACTAACATTTTAGAGTCTGCATAATGTAGCACAGTTTCATTATTTTGAGCTTTTGTCCAATTAATTCTTTACAATAAATTCCTAGAGGAACAATTTCTGGGACAATGAGTATTAACTATTTTCTTAAGGATTTGGATACATATTTCCAAGTTGTCCTTTGGAAAGGCTGTAAGAGTTTTATACTCCAAACAGATATAAAGATGAACCCATGTTATCATACCATAATCAATTCTGTTTGATATTGATCTTTTTTAAAGTTTTATCTGTCTGAGAAGCAAAATAAACCAAAAACCAAAATACACACACACACACACACACACACATATATATATATATGGCAAAAATTATTAGTGGTTACCAGGGGTAGGAGACAGAGGGAAAGGGGGAAGCTTTTGTTTGCAGAGCATTGAGTATATGGTAATTGTAGTGGGATATTTTGGAAAAGGATAGCAATAATGTTGGCACAACATGAAAAATGTCATCAATGTTGCTGAGCTGTAAATGGGAAAGCTGTTATGTTGGCAAATGTCTTGTAGTTTATGTTTTCACCACAATAAATAAATTTTAAAAAAATTGTTTTAGTCACATGTTTATTGGAATTTTGCAATTCCTTTCCTTAGTGTATATTCATAAATATGGCATTTCAGTTCCAGATTTATTTTTTCATTAGTTATGTCCTATTCCAAGAATTCCTTCTTAACATTTTCACTAGGGTACCTAACTACAAGCAATGATTGTATAAACTTAAAAAATAAAAGTTTTACAAGGTGCATTACTCACAGCTTTGTCATCAGTACAGTTTCCCTGTTTTTTTTTTACTTCCTATTCTGATTCTTTCATTTTTTTCATGACTACTTAGATTTTTTTTTTTTCCAGAGAGCATATATGAGCCATAAATACTCTTTTTGTACGAAATCTGTCTAAAAATGTTACTTTCCCCTTTGAGCACAGATTTTGAGGGTTATGGTCCTTCTTTACTTAAAATTCTATAGTCCTCTATTTATCGCTTTCTGGCATTTCTTATTGCGATGAGAAGTCTGATGTCACTGGGAATTTTTTCATTTGTAGATAATCTGTTCTTTTTCTTTTGCAGGAATTCTGATGTCTTTTGAGTCAAGCAATGTCTTTAAACAGTGATCTTAATCAACACTTTGAGAACTTTGTTAAGGGGCAATTTTTTGATTAAGGCTCTCTTTCATCTGTTCTGACCTCTCCTGGGATTCCTATTTTAAGTATATTCCTTATGTGTTATAACATTTTATTGTTTGTACCATTTTTCTCTTTCCCCTCTGAGCTCTGGGAGAATCCTTTGATAAGGTTTTCTAATAAGCCAATTTGGTTTACTATGATATTCACACTGGCTATCCACTGCACGTAATCAGATTTTTAGTTTGTTTTGCATTTTAGCAACTCCTTGTAATTTTAATATAACATAACATAATATAATATAATGTTAAGATAATATAATATTTCTCTTTGTCATAGTCCATTTGTGTCATTGATGCAAAGTCCTCTCAAAAATCACTGTAAAGAGTAGATTTCCCTGATTTATTTTTATTCTTGCATTCAGTCTGCTTCTGTGGGAACAACTTATTCAGAGTACAAATTGTTCTCCTTTTATGAGCTATGAATTTGTTTCCAATGTCAAATTTGTTTGCTATCTAGTTGTATTTACATAAAATTATCAAATGTTAATAAATTAAATAAAGTTATCAGAATTTATAATTGTAATGGGCTCTATAACTAACCACTTACTTCATTATGTGGGAAATCTCTTCTCTTTGTGTCTACCCTGAGAACTCAACTTATATGACTGGCCTCTCATCCCTACATGTACAGTGATATTTATTCTTACTTAAAGACTTTGAGTGCATCCAGTCAAACAAAAAACAGACATATGAGCTGAACATTTATATTAGGTAGATACACTCCTTGGAGAGATCAATCATGGGAGAATAGAAGGGCTGTGTATGCACAAGGAGACAGCTCGGGGGGCAGGAGTACATGGGAGGGAAGAACGCAGGGAAGAAGTAACTATGGGGAGGAAGTGGAAGGGGAGCTGTTGCATTGTGAGAAATTGCAGTCAATGTCATGAGACAAAGTGTATATGAACTGCTGTATGGAAAATGAATTTGCTCTGAAAACTTTCACCCAAATCACAATAAAAAGTTTTTTACAAAAAGACTTTTTGAGTGCAAATTTTGCCCAGTACAAGAGATATCCACTTCCTAAAAGGTAAGTTACTGGTTTAGAGGCTAGTTCCCTACCCTCACCCACCAGAGCTCCATGTTCTTTCATGTGCTGGATACAAATGCTATTGGGTCTTAGGGAGGGACAACACTAACAGGTAAATGTGTCCTCTGTATTTCATTCTCACTCACACTGATTGCTAAACTCACTGACACAGAGTCAATTCCAACTCATAGTGACCCCTCCTAAAGTTTCTGAGATGGTATCTCTATGGAAGTAGATTGTCTAGTCTTCCATCTGAGGAGTATCTAGTGGGTTTGAACTGCCAGCCTTCTGGTTAGCAGTCAGATGCCTTAGGCACTATGCCACCAGAGCTCCCAACACTTGATTGCTACCTACTTCAATTTAGGAATATAGTGAGGGCAGTAGTGGTTCAGTGCTAAAATTCTCACCTTCCACCTGGGAGGCCTGGATTTGATTCCCAGCCAATGCTCTTCAAGTGCAGCCACCATTCAGTTAAGTAGGAAGAAAAGCCTGTTTGTCTATTTCCAAAACCCAAACTACAACTGATCAAGAAGATGGACTAGGCAGTGTTTCACTTCATTGTGCATAGAGTCACCATGAGTCAGTGACCCTGACTATTAACTTCTAAGTTACAGCATTTAAAGTTTTATGTTGGCAGAGGAGACATTACACTAAATCTAGGAAACTTCTAAATCTAGTGATACTGCCTCGGAAACCCAAGGAGGGGTCGCTGTGAGTCGGGTTTGACTCGACGGCACATAACAACAACAACAACAGGAAACTTGAGTTGCTCAAATCCATCCCCTGTCCTTTGCAACAGACCAGTGCTTTTCCTCTGGTTCTTGGTTTAGGAGACTATCTGAGGAAACTCAACTTCTCATTTTTGTGTCATTTCTTGAACTATAGTGATCTTTTCTGTCTTTGTCCAATCGCTCCTTTAACTTTGGCTGAAAATGCCGGAATACTTCCTATTAGGCTCACCTCAATTATAATCATTTCTCTTTTCTGAAACTTTTAGCAACTGAACACAGCATTCACTGAGACTTTATGATTGATGAATTTTATGTAGGTATCTGTTCTCTATTTATAAACTTTATTAACGAGAGACCCGAGACTCTATTTCTTTAGTATCCTTCAGGCACCTAAAAAAAAAAAAAGTCACTGCCGTCCAGTCATATCTGACCCATAGAGATCCCTCCTTGGGTTTCCGAGGCAGTATCACTATAGAAGTAGATTGCCCAACCTTTCTTCTGAGGAGTGGCTGGTGGGTTTGAACCACCAGCCTTCTGGTTAGCAGTCAAATGCCTTAGGCACTAGGCCAATGCACACACTATGTAAATGATACTGTATTGACACAGCACTAGAACGTATTTTAATTAACATTATTTGTATTTTTAAATTATATTGTATAAAATTATTTAATATATTTTCTTAACTAATTGAAAGATAAATGGTCTTTCAGATTTTTGTCAGTCTATTTCTTAAAGGGATTTGGTATCCATTTGGGAGAAGAGATTTGAAAAGCAAATGGCATGACTTTGAAATATTGAAAAGCATTAAATTTTAATGAGATAAATTTATAAAGTCATATTATTATGTATAAATAATGTCAGAGCCTGGTTTTGAAAATGTCTTATAGTTCAATCTCCTTTGCTTTTTAAAAATGTTATTAATATACTATTTAGAGTACTTTTTAGCAAAAATGCTTACCTTTATACAATCTGTCCAGCTTTTGAATATAATTTTCCATAGTTTGAGAAGAGATCAAATGATGATAACACAGTTTGGAAACCCTAGGAGGAAAAGGAGCAAAGATTATCACAGAGATCTTACTGAGTTTATATTATTATTTGGAATGTAGTAAATTATTAGCTAGATGCCATTGGTGATCTGGTGCCTAAGGCATTTGACTGCTAACAAGAAGAATGGTGGTTCAAATCCACCAGCCATTCCTTGGGCAATCTACTTCTGTAGTGATACTGCCTGGGAAACCCAAGATGGGGTCGCTATGAGTTGAATCGACTTAACAGCAGTGAGTCCCCCCCCCCCC